GTTATCCCCCTCGTTTCATGCGCTCAAGTGCTCTTTTTAAGGTGCCTTTGAGCTAATAAAACTGGACTGAATGGAGCAGATCGTGCCCCACCCATAGCTGATAATTCTAACCATAGTAAAAAAAATGACCTGAAATAACCAAAAACAAGTATACTAATTTATAAAAACAAGATAGTTTTAGAACTTTGCTCAACATGCATATTGGTGCGTAAGGCATGCATAGCGTTTTTTTTTATACATGTATAAAATCACACACAGCTTGGCCTGTCTACGAAGAGGTATCCCCGCCAAGATCTAATTCCTGTCTTTCCCAATGGATGGATCCCCGTGTTGGAATCGTCTGAGCTCGGAAAGGAAGATGTCAAACGAATAGACCTCGGTAAGTGAGGCTCAATTTTTAGAGTTTATGACGCTAGTCAACGCCATCTAAAATAATCAAGGCCTGCCAACATCTTTCTTTTTGCACCATGGAACGTCGTCCCAGTCTGATGGCGACAACTCGGCGATTGGATCCGAGCCTAATGCCGAGTGTCCTTCGACATGTTGACTGGACACGAGGCCCAGCCGAGCGCTGACGCAGCAGCACTCGTCCCCAATCAGTGTCTTCGCTTGCTCTTCCTGTGATGACGCAGCAATTCTAATGCACAGGCACTGGTTATCCAAGGTGGTGCTGTGCTAGTTCGGGTCAAAACTGTCATTGCAACTGCACTCGTAAAACTGCCGCTGCGGGGATTAAATATAAGTATTTATGGGCCTTCTCGAGGAAGAGGCGTTTTTCAAATATTGATCTAATCATGAATGTTTTGGTGGATTAATCTACATTTTGAATTTCTTCATGAGCCTAATTAAAAAATCATCAGTACGATTGTCTTATAGTGTTCTTCGGCATCTCCGCTTACATAAAATGCCTAAACGAGGCAAGATACCAGAACATTTTTATGAAACAGCTCTGAATAAATAACTTTATGATATTGTTTTTTTTCTAAGTTACTTATTTTTATTGAGCGGAAAGAACTCACGCGATCTCTTATTTTGGAAACCTCTGGGGTATAGACGGAAACACTTTAAATACCCACATATTGCCCCATTGTGCCCATGTGTATGTTTTGATCATCAAAAGAGAATGTTTATAAATACGCGAATAGCGTAATGCAATTAAACAGTTCACACAAATAATTTTGTGTGGCACATGGCACATATCGAACTCATATTTTGTGAGAATACGTTTCCTTACGAAGAAACAACAGCATATTCCTTGGCCCACGAAAGGGCATAACATAATACAGAATAAACACTTACCTAAACAAAGGTAAGAACCGCACAGATAGAAGACGGAACCGCCTGCTCTGTACCAATGGTTGTGAATAGGGCCCGAGTAACTGAGTAGAAGCATTTCGCAGACGGCGACAAATATTGACAAAGAATTTCATTGGGTGGCCATCCGTGACAATCAGTCAAACATTGTCGGGAAGAGCAATGGCCTGGATGTGTGTACGGATACGCAGTTCATTCATCAGAACCACGCCTCACCTTTATTCAATACCGGTCCAAGTAAGAAAATATGATGCGCACCGCGAAGGGAAAAGACTGGACCTCAATGTTTCGTCATAAAGATCTATATTCCATTGCAACACCATTCCCGGGAATAAAAGTGTCCGACAATGCCATTCCTTTCCACTCCTTGCAACAGAGCCACTGGGCCAATTTTCATTCCTGGAACAGCTGAACCCCACCATTCCATTCCTCTAACTCCTATACGTGAAAAAATGGCCGTTGACAGCCACATTTCTTACTGAAAAAAAAAAAATCATAAAGCTGCTGATTTTTTTTTAAACACGGAGCCGACCGCAAATGTTTCAAACGCTTGCTCAAAACACCCATTCTACTTAGCCGAAGGGTGATCGCACAAGGCCTTTCGTGGCATTTGGTGCGACACCTCCTAGATAACAAAGCCGTAGTGCTGAATGAGATGACGTCATTAAAGGCCAACGCTGGACTCAGATTGAAGACGAGTGCTGCCTCAGAGCTCGGTTTCAAGTCACGTTTGAGCCGAACGTTTACGCTATAGTCGTGTCCAATCTTTGCCTAGCATTGGACTTCTCTGATCACGCCATCTCATTCAGCACTACATCTTTGTTATCTAGGACGTGTTGATTGGTGGCACTGCAGACATTGATCTTGCGATCAAGCGTAAGAGGCTTGAGAGTTGCCACAGACGCCAAAAATTAAAAGCACCCATTTTCTTCGCAAACGGTTCCTATACCCACCACAGGTTCATCAGAAGCCGTGCTGCGGAAATGAGGACAGGAAAACAAATATATCCTTAGTTTCGTCTTGTCAGTTTCCATTTTTAACGCAAACATCGTTGTATGAAAATTACGCGGTTATACAGGCGCGTAGAAACAGTACCGATGTGCAGCAGTCACATCTGAAGGCAGTCGGCCAGCACGCACAGTGACACCATGACTGTTGCACGTACCGTACTCGCAAATTTCCCCTCAAAACAAATAAGTCGTTAGCTGTTTAGACAGCAGGAGTTCAGTCTGCCTGAGTATGATAACATTGTTACCCACTCTAGATGAGTGGCCCATGCAGTAGGACTGCTAGCCTAGGATTTTTAGCGGTCATCACGCAGTATACTGATACATGACCGCAGGCTTTGCGATGCACATCCAGATCGAAACGGCAAACTACCCACACCTCACGCCCGAACGACTTCCTGGAACGACTGAGTTGAAAAAGAGAAAGACAAAGAAAGCCTGTCGAAAAACGATTGGAAACAAAGTACATAAACAGACCATAAGCAACTTGCTGTTTCTATAAAAACACACACACAATAAACCTTCTTGAAGCAGCGTCCAGGGCTCTAGAAGACTGGCGTTCCGGCGACCGACGCCGCACTGTCGCGCTCTTCGCGGCTTCGTCTCATTTCACCTCCAGATTTCGCCAAAGCGAAACGAACGCGCCGAAACCCGTCCCTTTTTTCTTTTTATTTTGATGTTTGTTGTCTTCCTGCTTCTTTGAGGAATATCGTTTAGCAGCAAGAAAATAAAAGACACACACCTACCCAAAGAATAGCTATTTGACCTCCCGGCATTGTAAGATATATTCCGGTTTACCTTACGATGTACCGAAATGGACGCCCTACCAGCTGCACAAGCCATTTCATAGTTCGTAGCTTGCCTTGTGACTTCGTGTTCCCCGCGTCGCTCTGCCCAACCGGAATGAAACGTGACACCTTCCGAGCTATGGATTTGCTTCGGCGGTTCGTGGCGTCTTTAGCTGTCGATCGTAACGTGAAAGAAGGTATAGAAGTGTACGCCTCCACGCCGACTCGCCGACGGCAATTCGTGGTGTGCACAAACGGGAAATTTACTTATTTGTTTCCCTATTATTGAGCTGTCTCTATGTCGTCACTGCCGTTCGTTTAGTCAAAACTGAGCCGCTAAAGCTACCATCGCAAATATTTATTTAATTTCGCGCCGCCACCCACAAAAAGGTGCGGCTCATATATTATTACGTCGAACCGTCTCCATTGCACCGGTAACAGCCAGGTGAGATTATGGTTCCATTCCAATATTAAAAGTTTGACTTCGGCAGAAAAAAAAATATCCGGTTCAGTTAAATAAAAACAAATTGGAGGACGCTTAAGATTCGCTCTTGAGAATTGAAAGCGATAGAGTTATCGGGCACCGTTCGCATCGCTTTCTCATTCCCTTCTCCTGCTCTGAGTCACACAACGATATAGTTCTCATGACGCAACATTCCTTTATTTGTCCACTGTACGATTTTCTTCTCATTAGTTGTCCTGACACGTGATCCCATTCTGGAACACTACTTCACTGCTCTGTACTCACTACAAAGTTTCTTGTTCACGTGTTTTTTCGATGTTCACGCGCATTGAGAGTCTAACTCACTCACTACACTGACACACTTACACGAACCACAGTTTGTCACTCTTACTCGTCGAAGTCAAGATCTTCGCGAATTCCTTGATATCTATTGTTGCATGACATCCGTGAGGGTTTTCGGGTCCCACCGATGCCGACGCTGACCGCGACACTGACGCCGACGCCGGATTTTCTGTAGCACCAGCTCTTTGGCGCTATCGCGATAATAACGGCTTTGCTCTGGTTTTCGGTTCTAGCTCGGTTCGACACCTTGGTTGAAACCTACATGCTACTTTCGCATGATTACAACAGCCGCTTTGTCGCGTCTCGCGGGGCCAGGGATGACCTCTTGTTTGTCTAAAACTATTTAATTTGGGTTGCTTCACTGAGGGCGCACAATTTTTATCCTCAAAGGAGGATAAGCCAGTGAGACAACCGAATCGTCTGTCACCTCTAGTACAATGATGCTGTTTCAAGAGCCCCTTACTATGTCCTTGCGAACTGCGCTATCAGCCCATAGGCACTATGAAAAATTGAAGCTTACTAGAATGGAAAGTTGGGCGAGTTGGTATGAATCCATTTTGAAAAACAGCGCTGTTTTCCAAAAAAAAAGAAAAATTGACACCTCTGGCATAAGAACCGTGCCCAGTTCATAATCCCTCTATTCCGGACAAAAGGCATCTAATTCCACTCACATTCCACTCCCCCAGTGCTGCCATCATTCCATTCTCATTGAACTCTGGGGTCGCGAATTTGCAGTAAGATTCCGGAATCATTCGAACTCCGGAGTGGCAACTTCATAACACTGCTGGACCTTGCACACACACCGAAAAAAAAAAAAGAAACATAAAGTCAGCGATGATAATCGAGTCTATTTTAAGCTACGGCCTTCAAAGGGGGACGACTTCATTTGAAAAAGAAATAAGCCTCTTTGGGCACCTGGGCTCGCCTGAGCTGATAACAAAACACTTCGATGAAGTCTGCATGTTTCCTCTAGTAACACATTTCTTTGCATTACTTTAATTAATAGCCTAGTTGTTTGCTTCCTAGTGTGTTTTTTTTTTTTCTAGTTGAATTGAGGTTACGTTAAAGACTGCGCCTTGATCTCAGGCTTGGAGCTGGTGGCATTCCGGACCAGAGACGGCGTTGCCTGCGTAGCCGACGCTTACTGCCCGCACCTGGGCGCCCATCTTGGCGCCGTGGGCCGCGTGGTGGGAGACTGCATCGAGTGCCCTTACCACGGCTGGAGGTTCAGCGGCACGACAGGGGCCTGCACTCATGCACCTTTCGCGCCTAAAGGTGAGTCTAGGAGTACTTGCTGTGCAAGCTGAACGGAACAAATATTAACTGCAGGGATACAGATTCGTCTGGCGTCGCACTCCGCTCGAGGAGGAGGAGGGAGAGGAGAATTGGAGAGAAGGAAAGAAGGAAGGAGAGGAGGAATAGAGAGAGAGAAGAAGGAGGGGGTGAGGAAGAAATAGGGAAAGGGCCAGGAAAAGCCCCCAAGATGTTTCTTGTGAAAAGAAAAAAAGAAGAACTTGGAGTTGGGGTCGTGGTGGTAATGGTGGTGGTCCCCGGGCGATTTTTTGCGGGTACTTTGTTGTCGGGGTAGACGATTTGGAATGCGATATCTTTTTTTCACGTGGTTAGGGCGTTCTAGCACATTTAGGAACTCTATTTCTGGATGTCTGACTAAACGCTGGTCGCCTATTGTCACAGATAATTAATTGGGATAATATTTTTAATACCCTCGGCTCAGCGTACCGTGGCGTTTTTTAAGCGGAATAGGAACAGCCCCTTTCAAATAGTTCGAGAAATATTTTAACCAAGGATTGTCCCAGTCCCCCCTCCCCCCCCCCCCCAAAAAAAAAAAAGACAAACAAAAAAACAAACAATAAAAACCTATAATTCACGTTGTGAAATACAATAACAAAACAACCCCAATTCCAAAGGCTAAGAAAGCAGTTATAAGGAATCAAAACCATTTATCTAGTACGTTCTTGAAAACCTGAGAAATAGTTCCAATGTGAAGAGCGCACGCTTATTGCTCCTGTGCTTCTGAAAGTCGTCGTCTGCTTCCCCACAACAAAACTAGCCACAAAAAAAATCGCCAATGGACCTCCCCGACCACAACTCCCCTTCTTTTTCTTTTTTTCCCAACAAATTTTCCGGGGTCCTCCCCCAGCTTCCTCCTCACCCCTTTCTCCTTTCCCCCTCTACCTCCTTCATTCCTTCTCCTCCTCGAGCGTAGTACGACGCCAGATCGCATGCAGTTTATAATTAAATGACACAAACTTGTTGTGTGCACAGTTCCAAAGGCAAAGGCGAATTTGGAAGTCTTAACCTGCCGAACAAACGAAGGGCAAGGGGTCTTCGGAACTGGGGACTTCGTGCTCGACAGTCGTCGTTCGTCGCACTGCACCGTCGCGCTGCTACTGCTATACGCAGTCGCATTCTACAGATGACAATGAAAAGTTTGACTCGTTGACGTGGAAAGATCGCCAAGCTGGCTTCGGAGTCGGGATCCACGAGAAGAAGGAACACGTGTCCCGCCAACGCACGCCCGCACACGCCCCGGGAAGCAGACGACCCGACGCGCCGACGCATCACACCCTAGCAACAAGCTTGCGGGGAGAAAACATAGTTCGCTGGTTTTGGAACGATAATTGCGAACTATGTTTCTCGCACCACAATCAGTTTACGTTTTTCTCAAACTCTAATTTACAACAAGCTTAAAAAGTGTTGCGATAATAACGTTCGCTTTCACCACGAGATGCAGCATTTCCATTGGTCAAGTTTTAGCGATGGGCAGGGAATGGGGGATTGTCTTCCAAGAGAAAATAGTCCCGATATATTTCTACTTCCATCTGCTTAATAAATGGTTTTGTAATCTAAAACTTTGTATACATATTAACTTGCACCTACTACGCAATATAACAACATAAACAGACGATCTCAGAAAGCTCCGGAGGGCCCCTTTAAGGTCGTGATAATCCAGACGGCGTACAGCATTTTTTCTTTTCTTTTTTTTTTTTTTGTATCCACTTGACATTGCAAACCTATCCTGAAAAAAGAAAATAAAGCTTGATGCTATAGAAAACTCTACTTTCTGTTACGGCATTGAGTGGCAGCGCGCCTCCTTTTTAGAGGCACCGCTGAAACAGCTGACGGCGTCGTAGAAGCGGCCGCCGTGCTGACGACTCGCTTCGCATGATGCAGTGGTTGCAGGTGTGTGTACGCGCGGCGCAGAGCCTTCGTTCCGGTCACGATTCAGACACATTCGTAGATAACGCGCTCGTTGCGGATGTCTGAACCAGCCTTAAGTTTGTCAAACTGGATTTATTTTGACGCCCAACTAAAATCTCGTTTACGCGGCACCTTCAAAACTATGCACCTCCGTCAGGTTGGGGGCAGCTCGACCGGGATTCAACCCCGCCTACTGGGGATATATAGGCAGGCCCTTTGGCTCGGAACCTCTGAGGTGTAAAATTTGAAGATTCCTCGTTCAGCGTAATGATAATCAAGTAAGAATTATTACCCCGAAGTTGAGATAATCTAAAACGATGTTAAAAAAGCTTTCGCAAATCAAAGTCGTCTCGGTCTAAAGCAGTGGTCTCACGCTGTTGCTGCATTGCACATCAGGGCTTCAGTTTTAAGATGCAGGATGTTTACCACTTATTTACTGTTTAGAGCTTATTCCTTTAATTCGTTGTTTTAAGTGTACTTTCGGGCATTACATAGTTGTGAATTCCTACAAGTGAACGGAGGACAATGAGAGGAGAAAATTTAGAAAAAAAAGGAAAAGCCGGAAAAAACTACTCGGCCGAAAGATGCTAAATGATTTAATCACTTTACATCAGCGGTGACAACACACAAAAAATTATAATGCTAACAACTAAGTTCATTCAGTACGACACACACCTGAACATTGTGCTCTCAGTTAGTGACATTTTTTCTGGTATTTTTTTGTTACTTTCTCTTTATTTAGGGGATTTCATTTAACCTTCTGATCACTTCTATCGGTGTTTCGCGCCCCTAAAGAACCCATCCGGTGACCTCATGTTGCCAAATTACACACTTTGCACTAAAGTTTTACTCTTGTTATTTTTTCGTGCAACATGATATTGATTGGGGCGAGTTTGGTAGCTGAGGAAAACCTAAACTTTCCTCCGCGCTATCCAGTCGCGAAAGAAGGCTGTCTATACTACGTTTCAACGTTCAAACTTGCGGATAACTCTCTTGCCGCTGGCCGAATTCACTGGGCGGAAAAAAGCCCCGCCGCTCACATTTGTAGCCGCCCGCCGCGTCAACGGGACTCCGGTTTCTCGCGTATACGAGAAAAGAGCAGCCCCTGGTAAGGGCTTTGTTCGAAAAACTGCTTTTGAACACTTGCGCTTGCTGTTAACACTTTACTGCTGTGCGATGTAAAATAGCTAACAGCCCACAGTGCTGAGAAAACGACCAACATTCTCTGGGCGATATGATGATGTAAAATTAAAACAACGAGCCAACAGAAACAACCTGTGTATGTACCACTCACGCCGATTTTATTCAACAGATTTTCCTTGTGGTTACCGTCTTTATTGTTTAGATGCCTCTTGTCGAAGATGGTTAAATATTTTACTAGTCTCGACGCATACTTCGGCCGACTCAACGATATTAGCGAGACGGCGCCATTTGCACAACTTGGGTGCTTTGCCGACTCCGGCGTCTACTCCGACATTTCGGGCGACTCGGCGAGGATGTGACATCCGCAAACGCCATTTTTTCCTCGCGTTTCGAATGGCTGCGGCGGCATGGCAGCTTTTTCCGCAAGGGAAAAATTGTTCACGGGCCGATTGCTCTCGCGGCCGAATATTCCTCCGACGGTGAACCGATTTTGTCGTCAACGAAGTGCACTTATCTTGACGCTTGGCGCCGGATGAATCCGTGTGCGGATACACCCACGAATCCTCAAGCGTAAACAAGCAGTAAGCTATACTTCGTTTTAGCTTAAGTTCAGACGCAGCAGACGCTACAAGCTAATTGACCGATCAAGCAGCCTCAAAAGTGGAAGTCACTAAGCCGTCTGTCTTTATGGCTGGTTCATCTGTGACAGAACACGTACAGGAATACGACGAACACCATGATAATGCGCATTTGACGCTGCCTGACCGGTACCATCAGCTCGTAGCGTAAACTGCGTCCGGATTTAAGGTGAATCAAAGTATAGAGCGCAGCCAAGAGCTCGAAAACATATAGACGTTTTCTCTTTCCCGTCGCTCTCGGTCACGTGGGCTCGATATCTGGTATGCTTGAGGAAAAAAAATATAAAACATTTAAACCTGGAATATGCGAGGAAATATAGGTGAGGCCAACAAGAATGTGGGGCACCAAGCATTTTTCTATTTTTTTTTTTTTTGATGAACACCTTTAGCGGCGTAAAGAGATCAAAACGATGTTTTACCGGATAGCGCAAGTGACGACATTCAAGATGGCTGCGGTCTTGTGGAAATGGGGTAAACACACCGGCACGCTTACTAAAAGTGCAAGTCATCTAGCCTTCACTAGGCTTGACTGGTTTGGTAGATGATTCAACACGTAGAGAAAGATTACTAACGCCATAACGTAGCGCTTCTAACTATGCCTGGTTATGGTGTGTTTACACTTGCAGATTCGCGGGCGGATCTGCGCACGCGGCGAGCGGAGTTTCGAGCCGCATGGCAAAATCCACTCGCCTGTGGTAGAAAATGTGGATATGGGTCCCGGACCGATCCAGGATTTCCGCGAATGACGAGCAAATTTTGCCCACCCGGCTCCAAAATCCCCTCGCCGCCGGCGCGGATCCGCCCTCAGATTCACAAGTGTAGACGCTGCATTGAGTCCTACACACTCAAAGCATCGGCTGCGCTCGTACTTTAGTTGCTCCAAAGAAATGCTAAAAGAAATGCCACTGGATTTAAAAATAAACCTTGATTTCGTGTTCGTGCTCATTGTAATTAATTCATGGGAAGCGGTGGGGGGATTGGGAAGCGGTAGTTTTTAAATACGACATATATTACGCTATCCGACACTGCGGAATGTTAAATTGGCGTCAGCGGGTAGCTGCCACGCTTGCTCCCGCTACACTAGGTGTGGTGCAGCCAAGGCACAGTCTAACATCAGGAGCTTGCGCTTGTGTCCGCAATTCTGCAGGGATTACTCAGCAAAGGCCGAACTTTCGAAAGCTTTCATAGTACAAGGTACTCGTGGCAAATATCCGGAATAGATTACGATAACCAAGTGGGATATGTGGAGATGACGGGGGCATGTTTACAATATAAGTGACCATTAGTCTTGAAAACCAAGAGAGGTAGGAAGGTGTGGATTGTACTAAAATGTTAAGGAGCACTAAGCTTTACCGTAGACAATTAAAAAAGTTCAATGTGTGCTCCATCAGTGGCATACTCCACTTTCGCCCAGGTACGGCTTGACATGTCCGCATTAACCTGTGCGATCGGAACGCGTAAGTGAGGACGAAGGTCCTGCGTAGTGGCTCACACAAAACATCGGTTCTCCTTAACATGCTAATAATATATTTCTCTCTCTCTTCATTTCCAAAGTATTAGTCATGAAGGTTGTAAACAAATGTTGGGGGGCGCCCTGTATATTACCACGATACATCTGCACGTGCTTTTGTACTTTCAAGCTCCAGTTCAGTTAATGTTCGTTGTTTATTTCGCCTTGCAGTTCCGGAGTTTGTGAAACTGAAGAAGTGGGAAGTCCACGAGGTGCTGGGATTCGTGTTTGTCTGGCATCACGCCGAAGGGGAAGAGCCGTCCTGGCGCATCGAGGACATTCCCCAGATCACCAAAGGCGACTGGAAGCTGTTCTTCAGACACGAACACAGAGTCAGCTGCCACATTCATGACCTCATTGAAAATGATTTCGACACGGCTCACGTGAAGCACTTGCACAAGCCGAACTCCCTTCTTTCTCCCAACACATTTTTTCGAAGTGGTGGAGATAGCCTTTGGGCGCGGCTTACAATGAACCATTGGACAGTCAAGAACAGGATTGAGGCGCACAGGTGTGTCAACGAATTCGATGCCCAGGTGTCGATACTCGGCAAGCGGTGGCCCGTCCTCCGTACTATTGCGGAAACACAGAACATTGGACCGGCCTTGATACTGGAGCATGCTCGGAGCAAGTTTGGTACCGCCAGGGTGGTGATCGCGATACTTCCCGAGGAGCCCCTACAAATGCGCGTCATTCAGAGGATGCACTTTGAACCAGATGCCTGGTGGTTCTTCCGGTATTTCCTCAGCAAAGCTCACATCAGTCAGGTAGGATCTAAATTTATTTTGAATAAGAACCCTGCGAGCGGTCAAATACACTCCAGATAATTGAATGTAACATGTTCGTATGAAACTCAGAAGCCCACGCCTTTTAATCGCATTACAGAAATTCGATAATTTTGTGTATTGGAGTATAATCGCTGATAAAAAAATGCAGAACAAAATTAGTCCCGCACATTTTATTTGTGCTGGCCAATTGATGAGGAAGCATCATTAGCAGATCATAGCGCAGTAGAGCAAATAACAAAACAAGAAGTGTGGGCATGATAATTAATGTTCATGAGTTTCATCAGCTGTCAGTGACTATAGTTTATGTAGAGCGCAAGTTCGTCTGCTTCCCGTATCAGTGACGTAAGAACGGCGAGCTCTGATTGGCTCGGCTGGAAGGATAGCGAGTAGACCTCAAGGCAGCTAGAATTGAGGTCTACCCACTATCCTTCTAAGCAGAGCCAATCAGAGGTCGGCGTTCGGACGTCTGTGCAACCCATATTCAGGAAGCAGACGAACTTGCGTTCCGCATTGAGAATGTGAGTTCTGACCAAATATGTACGTGACTCGTTACCAGTGACGTGTTACTTCTACCTAGTTATTGTTTTGGTAACGAGTAACGTATTTAGTTACTTTTAGAAGAAAAAAAACGAGTAACGTACTTATTTACCTTTAAGGCCCAGTAACGAGTAACTGCAGCTCGTTACTTGTGAGGAGTAATGTGTACAACAGCGTTTAAACGACCTCGTTTTATCTCTAACCTGAATATGCTCCTACTGCGACAAAGGCAGATAGGCACCGAAAAACAACTAAACAACGTTTATCTCTGAAGCAGTCGGTCGAACTTCACCCTTCTAGAAGGTTGATCTTTGTAGAACTGTGTACAGTCCGAATTTGAACCCTGAAGGTTGCCAACATGGGAAGGCGCAAAACCCGTTGTAAACTTGGAACTAAAGAAGTCTAGAAAACAAAAGAGAGGGGAATCCTAGATTCACCAGCTCTCCCTAAAGCACAACAGTGCCCTTCCGTCGAGCGCCTCGGGAGAGCGACTCTTTAGCGTAGTCGGAGATGTATTCTCAAAGAAGCGGGGAAACACAACCGATGAATACTTGTTGCTCCTGAAGTGCAATGATTACCGAAAAAAATAGTGAAACAAAAGCTGTCGTGTATTCGGTCGTCAAAGTAACGAAAATGGTAACTTGTTACTCTGAAGGTAAAGTAACGCGTTCCTTTATCAGACTCAAGTAACGCGTTTAGTTACTTTTGAGCGAGTAACGGGCAACGGCATAAATTGTTAATATTTTTTGAGAGGGCATCGTGTATACATGTTTGGTTCTGACTCTAAATCTACTCTCACACTTCCCACACATCGTACACAAAAGACACGGAGTTCGCTGTAGATATGATGACAGAGTTAGCTGCGGACACACTCCCTGCACGTGACACGCATGTTTACTTCGTACAACTGTACGCTTCAAACATGTTTGTAGGCAGTTTTTGTATGACCAAAGTTATACAAGGAAGAAGCACGCCTGCAGACAGTGGCTAAAGACTGTCTTTTGTACGATGTATGAGCAGTGATAAGGCTGTTTATCGGTTCTATCTTTTGTAGTGTGTGTTAGGGATACTACAGGGTGTTTTAAATAGTGGCCAGGCTCTTTAAATCAACCGCCAAAATCGGTTTCTTAACCTGTGACGCTACGATTTGGGGCAGCGTTCCTACAGGTTGTGCATTTTCGCTATAAAATTTGCAAAGAAAAAACTTACATGGGAAAAGTAGTTGAAAAAAAAAGCTTAATATATATGGAAACGAGGCAAAGGCGCCGGTCGTCGTAAATATGGCACCCTATTGTTTGAAGACCATTGGCTTCGCTGGGTTTCCATAGGAGTTAAGCTATTATTTTTTCTTAGATAAATTTTCTCTTTGCAAATTTCATAACAAAAATGCACCACCTGTGGGCAGCGCTGCACAAACTCTTAACGCGATAGGTAAATAAATCAATTTTTGTGGTCGATGTAAAAGCCTGGCCGCTATTTGAGAGACCCTGTATTTTGCGGCGCCTTATTTCTTTTTTCCGTATGATGCTTCCTTAGGCTCTTTTTTATGAATCGCGGGCTTCCTATAACAGTTTTTGTTTCATCAAATAAATGCGCACTTGTATAATTGTTGTAGGTTTCAATGTCGTGCCCAATAAAATATGTAATTTCGTTACATATTTTTTATAATACTTTCAATCCCATAACATCTCCGTTAGTGTAATTAATCTAAGATTAGAATATCCACAGATTTCGTATAAACCCAAAATGTTGTCAACGCGGACTTGCAGCTGATGATATAAACGCGTGCCCGGGTTCTTCCATTGCGTTTCGAAAGAAGCCTGAATGGTTCATCAGAGGAGGGGATTAACTATAGTGCATATGAGCAGAGACCAAGAGGAATGAACGCGGAAAATATATCGATCAATCGACCTTTTTCACGAAGACACCGTCTTCTTGAATATCCTGACTTCCAGTGTGGGCGAAAACATTTTGTTGCCGTCGCCACGCCAATAGAACGCAGTTAGTATTTAAGCGTAACCGTCACCCATTAACATTTTTCTTCCCCTCTAAATTTTTTACTGTTAGCAGGTTGAAATGATTTATTGTTTTTTGTCGCCCATACCGGGTAATCCCAGCATGTGACTGGAGAAAAGAGTAAACGAAAAAGGTCTATACTTGGTGTCTGCATGTTTGTGCTATGTTTTCGAGGCTAGCATAGCTTCCGCAGTACTTGAAGGCTGTCGAAACCACGTTCGTTAATGTGTGTCTTCCACTGAGGCCTCCTCAACAATATAGCAACAGCTTGAGCGAATCTGACACGCAAGACAGAGCCATGTGCTCTCACGGGAGCTCGGGGTTGTATCACTGTGGAAGCTATGGTAACATCGACAACGCAACGGAAATACTGAGTTGCAGCGAAATAAACGTGACTCCAGATCCATCTTGAAATGGGGTGGTGTAATGGTGTAGACAAACTGTTTAATGTTCGGGTAAAAAAAAAATGTCGTCCTTGAGCTTCAGTGACGTATACCGTAGATTATGCATGTTACGAGCACATTTCACTAAAAATTTAAGGAAAAGTTGCAGCACTAAACTCCGTTTCACCTTAAGTTGTACCGCAACGAAGGCTACAAGCGCGAGCTCATAGCGTTGGCAGCTGACCTCATTGCATAAGAGCTTGTGCCGCCGAGATGTGCATTAGAGCAAGGAGCTCGCGTTTGAAGGCTTTCCTTCGGTACATCATAAGGTGAAGTAGAGCATAAAATCTGATAGGCTGGCAAGAAAATGCTCGTGTTACCAAGAATTAGTTATCTACGCGAAATCGCCAACAGAAGTGTAACATTGTTTTCTGCTTTTCAGTTTCGAAGAGACATCTCGATAATGAACACAAAAACTCTCATCGAGCACCCACCGCTGCAGCCTATCGACATGAAGATACTTGAATTCCGCAAGTGGTTCTCTCAGTTTCTTAGCGAGAACAGCCCCACCTGGCAAACAGTGCGAGAACGCACGCTGCAGTGGTAACCACCAAGGCCTGATTTGCGCGCTAAACGCGGTCTCTTCCCAGTTTTGGTAGCATTTAAACCTCAATATTGACATTTTGGAGTTTATTCCAACTGTACCATGTCTGTCTTGACATGACTAGACCATAATATGGCGCCGATTCTCCAAATTCATTGTGTCCCGAAAATTGAAAATAAAAATAGGTTATTCAAAACTGTTTAGCTATAACGAAACATTGTTTTTTTTTATTATAACCTAAAAAAAACACTGTACAAAGATATCCAATGACGCATCCGACAAAATAAAAATAATTTACCAATTTATTTCCCCATAGCATGGTGTTTAGAATTGTCAACGTATTTTAGTTATTTGTTTTTGATGTAGCCACTGTATGAATATGACGTCTAGTTGTTTTTGTTTTTTTTGTTTGTTTTTTTGACTTGAGGATGAAGTGGTTTTTCACTCCTAAACCTAAGACCCGTCGAGCAGGAATCGAATGCTTCACCAATGGCCCGTGAAGAGATGGAGGTAGGATGAATAACAAGATAATCATCTAGGATGAAGCTAAAAAAAAATGTGCAAAAGGGTATGCACCATCAAGCACTCCAATAAATACGTTGAATGCCAAGAAAAGTCAATTTATTCTATTCCGCCCATCTGTGGCAACCAACACATCGGCCAGACGGGACGATGCCTGAACCTTCGCCTTAGGGAACACTTTCTCGAAGTCAACAATGCGCCATCCGGCTCTTACCATCGAATGTTTGTCCATGCCCGCACCTGCCAAGACTGCTCCCCTAGCTATAAACACACTGTCGTGCTAGGCTCACACAATGACTAGTATGGGCGAGAGATAATTGAAGCATTTAAGATCAAAACTGCCACAGAGAATGTTTCCGAGCCCTCGTTGTCGTTATCGACACCAGAGATGGAATTCATAACACCAACGTTATCATAGAAAAAGTCTCCACCAGTTTTCTTCATCTTTTTCCTTCTCGGGAAGTTAAATTCAGCTATCTTTAATTTTATCTTCTAGTATCTTCTTGTATTTTCGTCTTCACTTAATTTTCTCTTTGACCAAAGTGGTTCTTCATAGTGTGATGAGCATCATTTAAATGTAGTTGCTCGTTCAAAGAACTGTGTGTGTCTGTCCCCCGTATATTTTCAGTGTTTTTATTCCTTCCGTGTGAACTGTACTCCATTCAACGCGCTCTGCTATTTCTTAATGGATTGTAGTACACATTACCCAGGAATTCGCTGTTGAGCTATTTTTATGTACATTGCAGCCGCGAGTAAAGCATGTAATTCTGCGGTATTTGAAGAACTATGGTGCAACAACCGAAAGGGTGACCAGTGGTTGAAAAGGGGTACCACAAATGCTGATGTTGATCCTTAATGGTTGTATCTTTGCTGTAGATATGAAAGAGTCAACGTCCTTGCAACGTGTGTATTGACCGATGTTTTTTTCCATGCCTGGAATGTTGATGTGTCTGTCTAGTAATGGTAGCGTCCATGGTGGCTTACGAATGTCCTGAACCCAGTGCGTTATTTCAGGAATTAGCAGTGGCACAAAAATTGATCTTTGAAAAAATTGTATCCCCTTGCAAGAAAGATTTTCAAGAAAAAAGGGTCGTGCAGAAAGTCTAAAAATATCGCGACACACTTCCTGCATTCTTAGGATAGTTACTGGTGGTTCCTTGGCTGTAGCGAGTATTCTTGCACCGGATGTTGCTCGCGGGAGATTTAAGTATACTTCAGACTTCTTGCAAATAAGTAAGGCGAAACTGTGATCTGTTGGATAACAAAGGTATAGAAAAGGCAGTTGCTTATAGTGCAGTGTAGAATGAGAGCCTTGAATCTATTGCAGCTCCCCATTTTGCTCCCGCGATGCATCGAAAAACCTTAATTACACTACTAATTCGCCTCTCCAGCATATCTATATGTCTGGACCAAGTCAGGCATTGATCTAGTAGGACACCAAGAAACTTTTACGATTGAACTTGCTGAATTAAGTCTCCATTTACATTATGTTAAAAACCAGGAAGCTTTTTTCGGGTAAATGGCATAAACGCCAAATTTGTGGCAGACAACTCCATTCCTTGAGCTCTTAAAAAAATTGTTTTTAAGGTTGTCTGTAACTGATTCTTTCAAATGTCTGGGGACGAACCAGAGATCCAGATACAAATATCCTCAGCATATATAGGTATTCGCAAAGGTGGCTGAAGGTTCTGCAGTTATTGCGCCATTACAACATTGAAAAGAGTAAGGCTTAACACGCTACCTTGGTGTACTATATGGTACAGTTCATGATGCGTGCTGTCTCCATCATTTGTACATACTGCGATGTTCCTGCATCGAAGAAACTCTTCTATCCAGCGTAGCATGTGTTCATGTACACCAGGAAGCTCAAGTCCTTCAAGAATATCAGCGTGACTAAACGCGTATCGAATGCTCGACGAATATCTAGGAGCACTGACACTGTAATGTTTCCGGTACCTCGTTCGTACTTTGCACTGGTGGTGAGGTCTAAGATGCCATCCCTTATGCCTCTTCGTGGACGAAATCCTGTTGTTTCTTCGGGGAACGCTTTACTACTTTCCAACTACCACTGTAAGCGGTGATGCAAGATCTTCACTTCTCGAGTAGTTTTCCGACGCAACTGGTTAAACTCACAGGGTGGAAGGAATCTAGGCTTAGTGATGATTTCCCAAATTTTAAGAGTGGAACTATTTTAGCCAGCTTCAAGGATTTCAGTGACTATTTTCAAATACCTTTTAGGGTATTTCTTGCCAACCCCGGTTGGGGTGACTGGACCTCGTCAGGCAGAGTGTATCTGTCTTTTCCCCTGATCTCTAAAACCGTTGTATCCAGAAGGAAAGAAAAAAGAAAGCTATGGGTTTTGAGAAGGTGAGAACGGCGGGGAGGAGAATCAGTTGTCTCGCCCGACGCGCGAGATTCTTTCCATCGACAACGTTTCAGCGTCTCGTGCACGCCGAGTGTATTGGCCTCCTGCGTTGCCCAGGGGGTGCTGCGAAAAGGGACTTGTTAGGCCTTGTTTTGGGTAGTACAAACTTTAGCGTCTCGAACCGTCACGCATGCAGAAGCTTGCCTGCTCTGGTGCGGAGCTCGAGATCACGATGAAAATAAAAAGAAACAACAAAAATTCCAATGCCGTCAAAGCTAAGACACTAGCGAAGAGATGCCGTTTTTCGCGTTCCAAAATAGACGTGACAAAGAAAAAGAAAAATGTAAGCGTCGCGACAGAGGTGTTTTGACGTCACCACCCAGAGATAAGAGACGCGTACCCTAGAGGTGGTGTCATGAATTTGGCACTTTCGATTGTCTTGCGTCGTTGAGTCTGGCCGATTTCTGGCGTCCAAAGGTGTTTTTTCGTTCTTCAGCACTAGACAGAATTAAAAAAGCTCAACCAACGTGCCATAAGTAGTGAGGGGCTCAATCAGGTGAGCTTGTACTACCCCAAATTAGGGCGCTACACTTTGTTCAAAGCTTCAGCGCAAAAGGCCTATGGGCGAATTCCATGCACGTGGGATGGAATGGAGCGTCTCCTGGGGGACCGGTGTCCGATAGACACGCCCTGCCGTTTTAATTTTGTCAGTGGCTATAATTAGCCAACTAATCAATCAATTTCACCGGTTTTCTAGCGGCCTGCAGGGGCGCCGACCTATGCCCAGGCAAAAGGTATACTAATGCAAGTTTTCTGCTGTTTCTTTAATTGCAGTCCCATTAAAAGGTGAGGGGGGAAAACCCCTGTACAGCTGTGTTTGCCCCATGACCGATGTGAAAAAGATACATACTTGATATAAAAAATGCTTCCTTGGGAATAATGAACCCCGATGAATGGATGTCAAGTTACGAGCGTAAAGTGATCTTTTGGGCATACTACAACCCCCAATTATAAAAATATTCCATTTCAGCTAGAGAGTCGTTGTGTGCCGTCCAAATATGTCATTGTCCCGTTTATAATTACGAAAAATAAATTCTGCTGCTCCCAACTTTGTTAAATTTAAGCCTCACGAAGACAAGCCGAGGTACCGAAGCTACAAGGGGCACTTAGACATTTCGCATTGTTAGCAACGGCAACAAAAAATATTTTAAATTAGAACAGAACGAGACGACTTGTCACTTATAACCTCTTGAAAGTTCGTCCCAAGGGTGATAGTGCGGTGAATGTTATGTGTGGTGCCCTTGGCTTGAGGCAGGTGGCGTGTTCTGCGTTATCACCAGCTTCGAGACTCTAGTCATATGACCCTAAACAGAGACACAATTGACCTAAAACATGTATAACGTCTACTCTGCTATCAGTATACCGAGTGAACAGGACAGCTTCATGAAGGCCAGCTTTTGGACATCCAAAGAAGCTGCCCAGCCCCGACGTGACCCCAAACAAGATACCATGTTTTTCGCCGTGTAACCCAAAATATAACTGAAGATAAAAAATTAACCGTGAATATTTTTGGCGCACGATGTCCACAATATATATATATATATATATATATATATATATATATATATATATATATATATATATATACATATATATATGTGTTTTTTTTTTATTCTTACAGATTTGTTTAAAAAAAGCCATGGAAGCTACACTTATGCGGTTTGTGCGAGTCAGTTATACGCCCAGAGGGACATTATGTGGGTGGCTAATCTTTGCGATAAGTCGGCTCATTAATTAAAATTTACTAACCAACTTTTTTATTAGTGAAAATAGACATATGGTTCCAATTAGGAACTTACTGAGCGTCGTTCAAAACCCCTAAATCAGTCATTTTCAGAAAGACTTTCAGCGCGTGAGAAGCGTAGTAGTGCACTAGAGTTACAACTCGCGGAGCAGGTACAAGGCTAGCGGTTTCGGTAAGACGCCCGCGCAAGTTTTCCGTCTCTTATCTAGCCCCAGTATTGTACCTGCTGCACGAGTGGTAACTTCAGCCCACGACTGCGCTTCACACGCGCTCAAATTCTTTCTTTAAATTACTGATTTAGGGGTTTTGGAC